GTCTTTCTTTCCATGGTCTTCTCCTTGGATTGTAAACTAAAATGACATATATCCGTGGGTGGTGGGAGGGGATTTTAACATGGTATTGCACAGATATGAGAAGTTTGGTAACATTTCTCACATGTTTATGCTAAAGGCTTTAAGGAGACTCTGAATAGACTTGATTTAATGAATTTACCTCTCATTGGTGGTAAATCGATTTGGTCCAATCAGAGACTCAATCCAGCGTGTTCTAAAATTGATAGACTTTTGGTATCAGTGATTTATCAATTACAAACCCAAATCTGTTCCAAAAACTTCTTCAACAGACCATCTTTGATCCCCTGCCTAGTTGCCTTATTTTTGATAAAATCAAGCGGAGACTCTGTCCATTCAGGTTTGAGAATAAATAGTTGAAAGTTAATGGTTTCTATGCTTAGATCAATGATTGGTGGAGTGGAGCAATTATAGATGGTAAGGCAAGTTTTAAAGTAATACAAAAGTTGAAGATAGTGAAAGCTGAAATCAAGAAGTGGAGTAAGGAGGAAGGGAGGAGTTAATATATGTATACTCTATCTCGACTCCAGGAGATTGAGACAATTAATAGGAAGGAGGGTGAAGGAGATTTGTTTACAGAACACTTGGCACAAGAGAATCTTTAAAATTTGAACTAATTTACAATAGATTAGAAATGGGTAAAACATCTTGAAGACAGAAATCGAGAGCGCAGTGGATAAATAAGGGCGACAGGAACACAAAATGTTTCCATAATATGGCAAATCGTCAGAGGAGAAATAATTATATGGAGGAGATGGATATTGATGATCAAGTAGTGAAGGGTGACAAGCAATTGAGGCAAGGGATTCAAGATCTCTTTTACAGCTTATACCCTGAGGAATCTGGATGGAGGTCCAAACTGAGTGGTATCAATTTCAGGATTTTGGATGAGACAAGCAGGTTGTCAGTGGAAAAAGACTTCACAGAAGAAAAGCTTTTTTAGGGACTCATGCAGTGTAAAAAGGTTAAGGCTCCCAGTCTCAATTGTTTTAACATGAATTTTTTTTATTTAAAAATGTAAAGGATTGCACAAATCTAAGTCCTTTGTTAGATCCTTAAATTTCTTATCCTGATATTCATTGCTAAGGTGGAGGAAACAACTAATATCAGGGATTTTAGACTAACCAATTTAGTTGGACGCATTTATAAGCTCATTACAAAGGTACTAACTAGAAGAATGCCCAAGGGAACGAATAAAGCTAAAGTTGAGTGTCAACATTCTTTTGTGGGAGGCAGGCAAATTCTACATACAGTACTTGTTGCCAATAAGGTGGTGGACAATCTGTTAGACCGAAAGAAGGGGGGTGTCATCTACAAGTTAAGTGTAGAAAAAGTTTACGATCATGTGAATTAGAGATTTTTTAATTATTTACTAAGGAGAATGGAATTTGTAGACAAGTGGCATGGGTGGATTAAGTCTTATATTACTACTATATATTTTGCAATAATGATAAACAGGGGCCCACCTTCTAATTTCAAGGCTTTCAAAGATTTTAGACAAGGAGATTCATTACCTCAACTACTTTTTATTGTTCTTATAGAGCATTTAATAAAATGTTGATAAGAGCCAGAGAATTAGAATTATTTAGAGTCAAAATGAGTGTGGGTGATCACATTGAGGAGGTAACTTATTTATTTATTTATTTTTTTGCTAATGATACTTTGGGCGTTCTGTGATCAAATGAGCAAGCAATGACCAACTAGTATGGAGTCTCAATGCCACAGGATCTTTTACAATCAGGTCTTTCTATAATTACTTAGCTAAGTACGATACCACAGAAACCAAGTAATCTGGAAGGTTAATATCCCACCTAGAGTTGCTTTCTTTATGTGGGAGGTTGGAATAGGGTGTATACTGACTATCGACAAATTGATGAGAATAAAGAAGATTATGGTGAACAATTGTTTTCTACTCAAAAGAGAAGCAGAGTCTTGTAATCATGCACTACTTTGGGATCCGTTCGTATGCAAGTTATAGACTATAACTTATAGGGTTTCTAATGTCAGTTGGGTGATAGCTGGGTCAGTAAAGAATGAGATCTTGGTCAAGTATTAGTGATTAAAAGAAACATGTGGGTCTCACTCCCCTTACTATATTTTGGATGGTATAAAAAGACAGAAAAAGAAGAGTTTTTGAGGTAGATGAAGATATTGATAGGATTAAAACTATATGGTTCCGTACCAAAAAAATTTAATTTTAAATCATCCTCTTTATTCAATGGATGATCTTGAGGACCTTATTGATAAATTGACATGTAAATATTTTGTAAATAAATAAACATTCCCTTGGTACTTGTGAATTAATGATACATACTATACCTTTTATTACGAAAAAAAAGTCATTTGTCTTCTCAAAGTCCAACTTAAAAGCAAGGCCTTCTTTCTTCTTTTTTTTTTTTCAAAAAAATATCTTTTACTACTCATTGATTATAAAGTTCAACCTTCTAGCAAGAAACGCAATATGATTAAAGGAAATAGTATCTCCAAAAACCTCTCTCAATTTTATGGGCAAAACGTGGGTAATGATTTTATAAACACTGTTATGAAGATTGATAAATAAAAAATCCCTGACCTTC